CTCGGCGCGGTGGGCTGCGTGGTGGCGGTGCCCGTCGCGGCCGCGGCGGCCCGATCTGGTCCGGTCCGGACCCGATTCGGGCGGCGGTGGTGTCGGATGGCTCGGTGGCTGCCGGTGGCTTCTCCTCCCTCTCTTGGAGGTCTCCCTCCTGCCTCCATGGGTGGCTGAGGTGGCTGTTGTGTGGCTGCAGGGCGGGTGGCGGCGCATCCAACTTGGATCTGGCGGTGGGATCCGGGTGGACGGCGCGGGTGGGGCTGCGGCCTGGTGTTGTCGTGGCTCCGGCCGTGGGCGGCGGCGCGTGGAGGTCCGCCTCATGGTGGTGGTCTCCCGGGGGCACGGTGGTTACACGGTGGTTTGGCGGATCTGCCCGTAGCGACGGCCGGCTATCTCCGGCGTCGGCTCATTTGCGGTCGGACCGCTTCGACCGTCGCTCCATCTACTCGTCGTCCGGGCGTTACTTCGGTCCAAGGGCTGGCCCTCTCCTAGTTGCGGTCCTTCGCTTGTCTCGCACTCGGAGCTGCAGGACGGAGCTCGTCTCGCGCCCGGCAGCAGGACGGAGCTCGTCTCGCGCCCGGGGCTGCAGGACGGGCGATGGAGGCCAGTTTTGGCCGGCCTATTGAGTCTCGGCGCTAGGGCTCGTCCAGGGGTGCGAAAGGCGGGGCCTTTCCGCTCATCTCTTCGGTTGGGGTAGCGGCGGGTCTCGGGTCAGGTGGTGCCTGTGTCTTGGTTGCCGGGGCGGCGGCCTCGGTGGTGGTAGCGTGGTGCTTTTGGGCAGAGCCCGCGGCTTGGTGCTGCCCGGTGGCCATGGACGTGCGGGCGGCGTGGCAGCCGGGGTGCGGCGTTCGGTGGCGGTGAGGGGTGGCCGGGGTGAAAACATGTTCTTTCTGCGGACAGACCAGCGGCGGCGAAACTCGTTCCCTTCTTGAAGGCGTCGTCGCGGCTCTCATCGCCCATCGTGTGCTCTAGGGGAAACTTTGATCCTTGGATCAGGCGGTGGCGGTGCTCCGGTGTCGTATCCTTGCTGAAGGCGCCGCCTTGGAGCCCACGGATCGTCGTATGCGGCTTCATCTCTTCGTAGTCAGGGGTGATGTTGCTGCGCTCAACGCCTGTGTATCTTGCCTTGGGTGTGTGCGTTGTTGTGGTGGCGTGCGTCTGTATCGGGATGTTGGTGATCTTTGCTTTATATATAAAGCGGGGCGGAAGCCTTTTTCGATAATAGTCCGAGTATAGTCTGTACTGCCATTTTTCTTTTTGCGGTTAAAAGATATGATAGTTTAGTTGCCCAAGAAGAATTTTATAGGTTACTTCAGTGTTTTGGGTTATTAGTTCGAAGAAAACATTTTAGGCTTTCCCTTCTGCTGCTGTTTATGAAGCGCACAGTAGATGAGGTGACAGTGGATGAGGTGAGCGTGCTCTTCTCGTACTCGCCGCACTGTCGGAGGGAGGCATCAAAGGCACGTCGCCGCTAGTGCCAACATGTGCGGCAATTTCTATTATAGTATATTATATTGGCATGTGGCAAGATGCTTCTGACGATGGTATGCTCATATATACGCAGAGGCGACGGTGACACCGCCCAATGACCTGGGCACTTGTCTGGGCTCTCTGGCTCCTTGATAGTAGCAATCGACCGATTAATAAAGGGCTAAACCTGTTGGGTAGCTGGGTTTACCCGGAGAAAACAAATTCGGGCCTTCGTTTTTCACATGTCACGGCCCAACAATACCGCAGCCCACTTACACAGCCCACACTGATACTTGTGGCCCAGGTCGGTACGTTTCTCTTTCTCGTTTCTACTACACTATGTAGGAAGGAGCAGAGTACATGAAACAAATGAAACATTTTTCTTATTATTATCAATGGCATTGGTGGGTAAATATTTATTACACGAAAAGTTGACAGACCAAAAAACAAAGAAACGTACCTTCCTTTATTATTAGGTATAGATGTAGACATAGATGAGACACATATTACTGTGCAAAAAAAAAAGCTCATATATACGCACAAGTGGAGGAGACACCGCCCAGTGACTTGGGCACTTGCCCGGGCTCGCTAGCTGCTCGATAGCAGCATCGACTGATTAATAAAGGGCCAAACCTATTGGGTAGCTGAGTTTACCCGGACAAAACAAATTTGGGCCTTCATTTTTCACATGTTCACAGCCCAACAGTACTGTTGTCTGTAGCCTAGGCCAAAATCAGTTCTTCTTTTAGAACCGCCCTCTAGCATTTTATTCAAGTGGATCATGCCTGATTGAACATGCCCAGACAGAAACTCGGGGATAAATTCAAAAGTACACGAATCTAAAAGAGAAATTAAAACATGTTTAGCACACATCGTGCACTGCACCATTAGCTTCCCTAGGTACAAAGGCAAATTTAAATCCTTGAAAATGTGGGAGATAAGCCCTCGTCTCTCTAAAGACAAATCCAACAGCTGATCTGCCATCTCCTTGCTCCCACATGGTACATATATTCTCACAATCCGTCTTTGTGATCACATGTGGCAAAGCTTTGCCCATAGCCAGCAACATAGCATCTTGGCATGCCAAGACTTCGGCTGGAAAAGGATCCGCTAGAGATCCATGCTTGGAAAAAATTGCTTCCATGAAAAGTGCATGCGGCGTCACGGCCAACCATCCGTGTACCCGCTTCTCCTACAAGCAAGTTAATAGCTGCATTAGTGTTAAACTTCGCCCATCCAGGCTCCAGTGAGGACCACCTAGGCTTTTGCTTAGCATCAATTGGAGCATCCGCTTCCACGATATGCAAAGATTTGATCAGTTCATCAACAAGCTCCATAGACTTATGCAGTTGATACCCCACTTCCTCATGTGTATATTTATTTCTGATACTCCATATTGCCCACATGACAGTAATGATATAGCAGCATGTTCCTTACTCACTATCTCTAAATCCAACAGGCCCATCGTCCATGTTTGAGGATGCAGTTTGGGTACCTTGGCCTGGAAGGAATTCAAAGCAGCCCTCCAAAATAGTTTGGCATGATCACACCGAACAAGAGCATGAAACAGTGATTCATCTCCATGACCACACATAGGACATACAACATCATCACGAATATGCCATTGATGTAGTTTCCCGAAAGCCGGCAGGATATTCTTCATATAACACGCCACACCAGAAAACAAGATTTTGGTCCCTTAGCTTCCAAAGAGCTGCTAGCCTCGCCATGCAAGGAACTACTTGGCCCCAAGTCTTGAGTCATCTCATATTCCATCAGTAATCTGTATGATGAACATACAATGAACACACCAAGTTTCCCCCTCCCACGCCCAAAAATCTTTCCCTGACGGCGGGGCATACTCAAAATAGCATCAACATCGGGATGGATGAAAACTCATCGGACTAGATCGTCATCCCAGTTACCTGTGTCCTCCACAATCAAGTCCACAACTAGGTGCACCAAATGCTTAGAAATGCGAGCCACCATCCTCAAAGACATGGTGCTTCCGATCCAATTGTCATGCCACACTTTAGTGGTTGTGCCATCTCCGATGCGGCGAATAAGACCCACCCGAAGAGCTTCCCTGCCATTGCATACTTATAGTCTTTGTAATTTTTCTTTTTTTTTCCTTTTATAGTTTAAAGCGTGGCTTTGTATTAACTTTTTTTCTTTCTGAGAGATGAAATGCTTTAATGAAGCAACCACTTATAAAGCCCATGATTTATCCCACATGACACTTTGCCTCATTTTTATTTTTCTATATTCTTTCATGATTTTTTTATATTTTGAATTTATCAAGGTATTGAGCAATTAGGAATAAATGTTTCCGCACAACCCATTAAGGATAAACATGCAGCAGACCAACACTTTAAATAAGTGTGCCTAGACTTGACACCGCTTCTCATATTTTTCAGGATTTATTTCAGGCCTCCGATGATGTGCATTCAGTGGGAACAGATATTCCTGTTGACTATAAAGGCGTCTATGGCGACTTTGTTAGTGTTAAGATGATGTGCCAGCTCAATCTTTCGAATCTGCTCATAAAGAAAAGGCGTGCGTGCGTGCATGCGTTTATAGGGTAAGTGTCTATGCGTATGTATAAGGTCCCTCCCAATGCTTCACTATGTACAGGTGCTAAGGCTGCCAATGCTCTACCATGTACATGTGCTAAGGCTGCCAAGTAGGCATAAAATCTGATGTGGCATGCTAGTTAAGAAGAGAGAGAGTACTTTGATGACCCAGGAAGAAACGGTGCTAAGTGCTTGTTCATAGAAGGAAGCACAATTCCGAATCCACAACTAATTGAATGAAGGAAGCTTAGCACCTATGCATTGAGGAATTGAGGTTTTTAAGGCATTTAATATACTTAGCACCTCAATTTTTTTAATAGAAAACTCACCTCATTTAAGGGCCAGTTCTTTTCGGCGGCTTAAAAAATAAGCTGCCTCTCCTCAGCTTAAAAGATAAACCGCCCTATAAATTTGTTGAGACTTCTAAATTACTTATCTCATAACTAGTTTAGAAGCCTTAGTGAATAAGAGAGACGATTTATGGAAAAAGATGGAAAGGAGGTGGTTTATTTTTTAAGCTTAGTGAATAAGAGAGACGGTTTATGGAAAAAGATGGAAAGGAGGTGGCTTATTTTTTAAGCCGTCAAAAGAAGTGGCCATAAGCACATTTACATTGGAAGAGCTAAAGCGTATGCGTCAGTGTTTTAAAAAAGTGTGCCGTGCAGGGCGCCGGCCTGCGTGCCGACATGTCACGGCCCGCTTTTTTTTCGAGGGTCCAACCGTTGCTCAAAAAATACAAAAAAGGTATGGGTCCAACTCGTCTTGTTGCGAGTTGCGACACACCCAAGTTCTCTGGACGCGGCTCCTCTACCGTGCCTCTTAGCACGGCACAGGTGCCGTGCCTTCTGCGTACGCGTGCAGACGCACTCACATGGGCCAGAATATGAGAATTCCCAAAAGCTAATCTGCCCAGCCCATTCATTAGATGTATCATATGTCTCAACTGATTAACTTTCTTTTTTGCAGGAACTGATTAACTATATTTGTCTAAAAAACTGATTAACTATACCCCGCTCAAAAAAGAACTGATCAACTATGAACCCCTAAAAAATTAATTAGCTATAAAAAAGCATTAACTAGTATAATTAATACATGACCAACACTATCAAATGAAAATGAACTTATATAAGAAAAAATATTTTGCTAAATAGTATTGGTCATATTTTACGCTGACCGGATTTAAATCAATTTGATTGGTACTTTTTTTGTCTTTATTCCATAGTACATGTAACTAGCACATTCGTCGACTACACACAACTATAGTTATATGCCAATCGATCGTGCGCAACTGCAGTGGTACGTCCGTGCAAGGATGTAAGCGGATGATGTCCGTAAGTTTGTGACGGTCCACCACGTGACACATGTGATAAGCAATCCAAACAATTTCAAAAGTTTGTGACGGTCCCCAAACAAAAATATAATTAAACTAACATAATTATTAAAGTAATGAACATTGGTGTAGTTTTTGCTTTGTGGACATTCGGATGACGTCTGCTTCCATCGCTAGTGCACATGCATAGGTCCTAGTCCCTCCGTAAAGAAATATAAGAGTGTTTAAATCACTAAATTTTCTTATATTTCTTTACGAAAGGTGTACTTAACTACTGTTAAAGATTGCTACACTGAATCAAAGCATGCACCAAGCCGTCGCTGAGGATGGCCACCCTGGATCCCTTTGGTCGGCGACCGCTTCACCAATGTCGCCGTCGAGCACCGCCGCCCTAGATCCCTCCGTTCGTCGTCATCGTTGCCTGACCCGCTATCGGAGTTGTCGGAGTCGGGTTTGGGGCGCCGGAAGGTGGTGGCGTCGCGGTAGGGCTTCTCGGCGGCCGCCTGACCAGTCGTTGGAGCACGGCTTAAATAACCGTGACCAGGCCATGTGAAGGGTCGGTCACCCGCTTCAATGCGGTGCAGCAGTCGGAGTTGGTTCCTTGAGAACCTGCCTCCGCATTGAAGCGGCGGCTGCTGATCAGAAGCGGGCTTGGGACCGGTCGGAGTTGGTTCATTTTACAGTGTTGGTCATGTATTAATTGTACTAGTTAATTACCTTTTTATAGTTAATTAGTTTTTTAGGGGTTTATAGTTGATCAGTTTTTTTCGAGCGGGATATAGTTACGTGTGATACATCTCATCTCATGGATGGGCTGGGCAGATTAGCTTTTGGTAATTATGTTGGCCCATGTGAGTACGTCTGCAGGCGTACGCAGGAGGCACGGCACCCCTGCCGTCCAAGTTCTCTGCCCCCTCCCGCAGAGTCGCAGCAGTCCCAAATACGTGCTACCTAGGTCGTACGCCCCAAGAGGCAAGAACCCTAGATCCCGAATCCAGCACAGCACGCGTTTGACCCCTGCGCATGCAGCCGTAAAACTCTGATTTCTCTCTTTGCAGCCTTCTCGCTCCTCGAAATACCACGGTTCTTCCTCTTCTCCTTGTCTGAGATCCCGAGGTTGGTGCTTTGTGGTTGCTTTGCTGTTGCGATGCTAACTTTGTCGGATTCGCGTCTCGGCGGTGCTTAACCACTGTTGCTAATCGCAGCCGGGATGGGAGAAGCCAAGGACGCCGAGGTGTACGAGGAGGATCTCGTCGACTACGATGAGGAGGTGGAGAACGCCGTCGACGGCGCAGCCGCCAACCCTTCCGTCGACGTCGTCAAGAAGTGCGTGCCGTCGATGCTTCTATCTAGTACTCCCTCCGTCCGGAAATACTTGTCATCAAAATGAATAGAAGGGGATGTATCTAGATGTATATTACTAGTTCTAGATACATCCCTTTTTATCCATTTTGATGACAAGTATTTTCGGACGGAGGGAGTAGTTTTTACTTTTCTTGCGAGGGTTCGTGGTCGAGGGATCTCATCTCACCTGGCATGGTTTGTGGTGTTTGGACAGGGGTTACGTGGGAATCCACAGCTCAGGGTTCAGGGACTTCCTGCTCAAGCCAGAGCTGCTCCGTGCGATCCAGGACTGCGGGTTTGAGCATCCTTCCGAAGGCAAGTTCTTAAAAAAAATTTAGAGCCATCAGAATTGGATCTACATGAATAGTACGCTGTGGACTCTTGAATTGCAATTATTTGTTTGTTTTTTTTGTTGTGGGAAAGCAATTATTTGTTTGTTGAGCACATATAGACATATAGTTGATAGCTCGAGTTGTAATTGCACTGCCAACAGCAATCCGGTTTTATCGTTATGGATTCTGAGCCGAGACCAGTGCACTGGTTGTGATAATTACAAGAATGCTTATAGAGAGATTCAGCCAAAACTGCATTTCTAAAAAGAAAATAGATGGAGAGAAAGAGAACACAGTATACTATTGTTTTTTGTAAACCCTGTTATGGACACATCTTAGCTTTGCTTGATTAGATTCGTAGCTGAAGTGTCACCTTTTGTCAGTATAAGATTATTGTTACATTCAACAGTGAATGAAAGACAAAAAAGAAGAATCACTTGTTTCATTTTTTTTACTCTTCCCCATGAGGTGCTACTTCTGAGTTATTCTGTTAGCTGAGATCCTCGTATGCATATATTTGAATACATGCCCCAGGCATCAAAGCACGTATGCTCTCAGTTCTTATAGTAGATTTTCTTTTAAGGACAGTTAACATGCTAAGAACCGAACATGCTAGCATGATGAAGGATAAGTGCAAATCATATAACTGGGCCAAGAACAAGAAATTGTTTCCCATGATCTGATAGTTCTAATACAAAATCAAATCAAGCATGTTTGAACATCCATCTTTTAGTTTGTTATATGTTAAGTATGTCCCAATGTGACCGTCCCTGTTTTGCTGATGTGCAGGTATAATTTCTTCTGACATTTTCGGTCGGAGGAGAGGATATGGTAAAACTCTCCATTAGTGGGCCCAGAAGGTTAAATATTTCTCACTGGTGCTACTCCTATTTTGTTTGGCTCCACATCAGTGCAACATGAATGCATCCCTCAAGCCATTCTCGGAATGGATGTCATCTGTCAAGCAAAATCTGGGATGGGCAAGACTGCTGTTTTTGTCCTCTCAACTCTCCAGCAGATTGATCCGGTTGCTGGGCAAGTAGCTGCACTTGTGTTATGCCATACACGAGAGTTAGCATACCAGGTTTGCATACATATTTTTTCATTTTTATTCTAGCAACAATGTCAGATATGCCTGCTGGTGCTAATTGTCCTTTTTACTTTATATATTGTAGATTTGCAATGAATTCGAGAGGTTTAGCAAGTACCTGTCAGAAACAAAAGTTGCTGTCTTCTATGGTGGCGTTCACATAAAAAAACACAAGGATTTGTTGAAGAATGAATGTCCTCACATTGTGGTTGGCACACCTGGAAGGATCCTAGCTCTGGCTAGAGACAAGGACCTTTCATTGAAGAATGTGAGGCATTTCATTCTTGATGAATGTGACAAGATGCTTGATTCACTTGGTAGGCTGCTGGTTCCAGGCCATTTTTCAATGTTTATAATAGTTCAGTTCACTTCAGCATAAGTTTCTGTTCATATGCCTGTTTTTCTGTAGTTCAGAGCTCTGATATTAACCTATGTTATATTCTTCAGACATGCGTAGAGATGTCCAGGAGATCTTCAAGATGACACCCCATGATAAACAAGTGATGATGTTTTCAGCAACACTCAGCAAGGAAATTCGCCCGGTTTGCAAGAAATTTATGCAAGATGTAATGTCATGCGGCCTACCTCATTTCTCTAGTGCTTCTTCCTATTTAAAACCTCCTCCCTTCTGGTGGTTATGCTCATACATAGATAGGAGAGGTGGTAATTTTTTGTCAGTAGGATTGCTGGTTGCTTGCTGATCATATTGATCGTTTTTGGTGGATTGAGTTATTCGGCTACTTCCACCTTGGTCTGTCAATTGGTATCTGTGCACATTCCAATGGGCTGCGATGGAATGAATTCTTTTGTTCTCGATGTGAATTGTGAAACATTCATGAAGAACATGGGAATTGGGGTCGGTAGGGCACCGATGTCGTAGGGGTTTTAAGTCCAGTGGGCGTTGTTTTCTCCAGTTTTCTGTGGCCTCCACACTTTTGGTTTCCGTTTGATTGGAGTAAACTGCTTCTGGTTCTCCCACTGTTCTCATGGTGAAGGCAGACGAAGCAGAATTCTCTTGACTGGAAATCTTATGTCAAAGCCACTGTTGCAAAACGTGTTGGCTATGGTTTCGCAAATTGCAGTGCGCATAAATGAAGCTCCTGGTGGAGGCTGAAAATTCATACAAAGTGAAGAATTGATATGCCGTTCGTTTGGAGTGGCTAGAGTTACATTGTTGCCAGAATTCTAATATCTTCGTCATTTGTCACCTTACAGCCCATGGAAATTTATGTTGACGATGAGGCTAAACTGACCCTTCATGGTCTAGTTCAGGTATAGTGAACTATCCACTAGCCATTCGTACATTTTGTTTATTCATCTCGTATCAACCTCATTCTTTATCAACCGCGTCAACATTTTTGCTGTGATTCCAGCACTATATTAAACTAAGTGAGGCGGAGAAGAATCGGAAATTGAATGATCTCTTAGATGCGCTCGACTTCAACCAAATTGTGATATTTGTTAAAAGTGTTGGTAGAGCTTCAGAACTTAACAGGCTGCTCTGTGAATGCAATTTTCCTGCGATCTGCATACATTCGGGAATGACACAGGAGGAGAGGTATGTCTTCTCTAATTCCTTCCCGGCATAGTCCTTTCTAGTTTTGTTTATCATATTATGTTCTGACTAGCACAAATGCCCGTGCGTTGCAATGGGAGAGAAAATTAGCATATGTCCGTCAAAAAGTCCACGACACGACGACATCCATGCGATGCCACCCAGCGGCGACAAAAAGGCGCATGCCGAGGTTAAGAAGAAAAGCAATATCATGAAAAAGCCTTTTTTAACACAGTACAATTGAACTCGCTCACATACACGAGAATACACTCACCATTATAAACACACGCCCTACCTCTATGAGCACCTCCAAGAGATTGAGTATAGTGAACTACCTCTATGAGCACACGCCCTACCTCTTATGAGCACCTCCAAGAGATTGAGTTGGCATAAGATATTGTTTTTCTATCGAGAACGGGAAATTAGTCGGATAGTACATCTATTTTATATGCCACAACCTTCTCAGTTTTTTTATCTTGGGGTCTTTCTTTATCTCACCCAGCTACAGTCCCATTTAAATGGGGCACTGCTACAGGGACGGCAAATTCTCAGCCGAATTTTGAACGATGGATCAACTCACCCGTTGGATTCCATCTTTTCGCAAATCAACACCGTTTAAGATGGACATTTTCCAGATTTCCTCCACGAAGTGTCGTGTGCAAAGTACTTCT